ATGGTTATAGAACAAATTCTTAGCCTCTGGAAAAATCTGTTGTAGGACTGTTTGCCCTAATTGTGTATGGCATAGCACAGTGAAACCGAATAAATAGCACTATCATAGTTAACTCATGCGATTAACTCAAAACATTAATTACAATTTAAAAAATGTATTGCCTGATAAGCTAAATATCCATATGCCCCTTCATGCTTTGGCCACTCTTCAGAGGACATGCTTTCATGCTGCAGATGCTCTTTAAAAAAAAAAAAGTGTTAATTAAATTTGTGACTAAACTTCTTGAGGGAGAATTGTATGTTTTACCCATATTCTGCCATATATTTCATGTTATAGCAGTTTCAGATGATGATTCAGCACATGTTCATTTTAAGAGTGCTTTCCTAGCAGATATGACAAAATGCAAAGAAGGTACCAGTGTGAGATCTCTAAAGATAGCTATGGTACTTGACCAAGGTTTAAGAATCTGAAGTGCTATTCAGAATCTTAAGAGGGACGAGGTATAGAGCATGCTTTCACAAGTATGAAAAGAGCAACATTCTGATGTGGAAACTACAGACCATGATCTACCAAACCTGCCAAAAAGAAAATAAATCTTCTGCTGGTGGCATCTGACTCATGAATGTTCTTTTCCATCACCTCAGTCAGCACTCCTTGGGATCAGGATCAAGCATGTCCTCTAGAATGGTGGTTGAACTATGAAGAGGACATATGAATCTTTAGCACATCTGGCATGTAAATATCTTGGGATGCCAGCTATAATTATACTATGCAAATGCCTCTTCTTACTTTTAGGTGACGTAAATAAGTAGGCAGCATTATTTCTTTTTTGCTGAACAAGAAGTAGGGCTGAATGGGCTTGTAAATTCTAAGTTTTACTTTATTTTGAATGCAGAGAGGTTTTTTACATAATTCTGCTTTTGTAAATTCAGCTTTCATGATAAAGAAATTACACATTTGTACTTGCATGAGATGAATTGAAAAATATATTTTTGTTCTTTAGTGCAAATATTTGTAATAAATCATAATTATAAAGTGATCACTGTACACTTAGTATTCTATGTTGTAATTCAAATAAATATATTTTAAAATGTAGAAAACATCCAAAAATATTTTAAATAGTGGTATTCTATTCTTTAACAGTGTGATTAATCACTTAATTTTTAATCGCTTGACAGCCTTAAGAATAAGGTTGACAAGTGCACTTGACCTATCTGAGTGGGCATTAGATTCTGAAGGGACACTCCTCCAGTCTGGCACCGTAGGTTGAGGGTCTTAGCGGGGATAGAGAAAGAGTCCACCACCACTCTAAAGGATTTCCTGATTAATAAAGTGTAGAGTACAGTGTTTTGAGCTCATGATTGGAAGAGAAGTTCTCTAGAATTCTAATCCCATCTGATATTAATGCCATCTATGATGTTAAGTAATTTAATTTCTTTTGTATTCCTGTCTGTAAAATAGGATTAATATTTTTACAAAGTTGGTCACAACTATGCTGTGATAGTTTAAATTACTGAACCCTTTACTAGCCTTTTCATTTTTAAAGTCTTTTTTTCCATTAGCTGTCCAAAAACATTTACTGAAATAATCATAGAATCATAGAATACTAGGACTAGAAGGGACCTTGCAAAGTCATCGAGACCAGTCCCCTGCCCTCATGGCAGGACAAAATACTGTCTAGACCATCCCTGATAGACATTTATCTAACCTACTCTTAAATATCTGACCTCGAGAGGTCATCGAGTCCAGCCCCCCGCCCTCAAGGCAGGATCAAGCTCCGTCTACACCATCCCTGACAGATGTCTATCTAACCTGTTCTTAAATATCTCCAGAGAGGGAGATTCCACCACCTCCCTTGGCAATTTATTCCAATATTTGACCACCCTGACAGTTAGGAATTTTTTCCTAATGTCCAATCTAAACCTCCCCTGCTGCACTTTAAGCCCATTACTCCTTGTCCTGTCCTCAGAAACCAAGAGGAACAAATTTTCTCCTTCCTCCTTGTGACACCCTTTTAGATATTTGAAAGCCGCTATCATGTCCCCCCTTAATCTTCTTTTTTCCAAACTAAACAAGCCCAGTTCATGAAGCCTGGCTTCATAGGTCATGTTCTCTAAACCTTTAATCATTCTTGTTGCTCTTCTCTGTACCCTTTCCAATTTCTCCACATCTTTCTTGAAATGTGGTGCCCAGAACTGGACACAGTACTCCAGCTGAGGCCTAACTAGTGCAGAGTAGAGCGGCAGAATGACTTCACGAGTTTTGCTTACAACACACCTGTTGATACAACCTAGAATCATATTTGCTTTTTTTGCAACAGCATCACACTGTTGACTCATATTCAACTTGTGGTCCACTATGACCCCTAGATCCCTTTCTGCCATGCTCCTTCCTAGACAGTCGCTTCCCATCTTGTATGTATGGAACTGATTGTTCCTTCCTAAGTGGAGCACTTTGCATTTCTCTTTATTAAACTTCATCCTGTTTACCTCTGACCATTTCTCTAACTTGCTAAGGTCATTTTGAATTATGTCCCTATCCTCCAAAGAAGTTGCAACCCCACCCAGTTTGGTATCATCTGCAAACTTAATAAGCGTACTCTCTATCCCAATATCTACATCATTGATGAAGATATTGAACAGTACGGGTCCCAAAACAGACCCTTGCGGAACTCCACTTGTTATCCCTTTCCAGCAGGATTTAGAACCGTTAACAACAACTCTCTGACTACGGTTATCCAGCCAATTATGCACCCACCTTATCGTGGCCCTATCTAAGTTATATTTGCCTAGTTTATCAATAAGAATATCATGCGAGACCGTATCAAATGCCTTACTAAAGTCTAGGTATATGACATCCACCGCTTCTCCCTTATCCACAAGGCTCGTTATCTTATCAAAGAAAGCTATCAGATTAGTTTGGCATGACTTGTTCTTCACAAACCCATGCTGGCTATTCCCTATCACTTTATTACCTTCCAAGTGTTTGCATATGATTTCCTTAATTACCTGCTCCATTATCTTCCCTGGGACAGACGTTAAACTGACCGGTCTGTAGTTTCCTGGGTTGTTCTTATTCCCCTTTTTATAGATGGGCACAATATTTGCCCTTTTCCAGTCTTCTGGAATCTCCCCTGTCTGCCATGATTTTTCAAAGATCATAGCTAAAGGCTCAGATACCTCCTCTATCAGCTCCTTGAGTATCCTGGGATGCATTTCATCAGGACCTGGTGACTTGCTGACATCTAACTTTCCTAAGTGATTTTTAACTTGTTCTTTGTGTATCCTATCTTCTAAACTTACCCTCTCTCTGCTTGTATTCACTACGTTAGGCACACCTCCAGACTTCTCGGTGAAGACCGAAACAAAGAAGTCATTGAGCATCTCCGCCATTTCCAAGTTCCCTGTTACTGCTTCTCCCTCCTCGCTAAGCAGTGGGCCTACCCTGTCCTTGGTCTTCCTCTTGCTTTTAATGTATTTATAAAAGGTCTTCTTGTTTCCCTTTATGCCTGTAGCTAGTTTGATCTCATTTTGTGCCTTTGCCTTTCTAATCTTGCCCCTGCATTCCCGTGTTGCTTGCCTATATTCATCCTTTGTTAGTTGTCCTAGTTTCCATTTTTTATATGACTCCTTTTTTATTTTGAGATCATGCAAGATCTCCTTGTTAAGCCAAGCTGGTCTTTTGCCATATTTTCTATCTTTCCTACACAGCGGAATTGTTTGCTTTTGGGCCCTTAACAACGTCCCTTTGAAATACTTCCAACTCTCCTCAGTTGTTTTTCCCTTCAGTCTTGCTTCCCATGGGACCTTACCTACAAGTTCTCTGAGCTTATCAAAATCTGCCTTCCTGAAATCCATTACCTCCATTGTGCTGGTCTCCCTTCTACCTTTCCTTAAGATCATGAACTCTATTATTTCATGATCACTGTCCCCTATACTGTCTTCCACTTTCAAGTTCTCAACTAGTTCCTCCCTATTTGTTAAAACCAAATCCAGAACAGCTTCTCCTCTGGTAGCTTTTTCAACCTTCTGAAACAGAAAGTTGTCTCCAATGCAGTCCAGAAACTTATTGGATAGCCTGTGCCTCGCTGTGTTAGTTTCCCAACATATGTCTGGATAGTTGAAGTCCCCCGTCACCACCAAATCTTGGGCTTTGGATAGTTTTGTTAATTGTTAAAAAAGGCCTCATCCACCTCTTCCACCTGGGTAGGTGGCCTGTAGTAGACTCCTAGCATGACATCACCCTCATTTTTTACCCCTTTTAGCTTAACCCAGAGACTCTCTACACAGCTATCTCCTACGTTCATCTCCACTTCAGTCCAAGTGTGTACATTTTTAATATACAAGGCAACCCCTCCTCCCTTTTTTCCCTGTCTGTCCTTCCTGAGCAAGCCGTACCCTTCCATACCAATATTCCAATCATGCGTCCCATCCCACCAGGTTTCTGTAATACCAATGATATCATAGTTGTATTTATTGGTTAGCAATTCCAGTTCTTCCTGCTTATTACCCATACTTCTCGCATTTGTATATAGGCATCTAAGATACTGATTTGATCTTGCCTCCCTGTTGTGCCCTGACTCTCCTTTCTCCTTGCCATTATAGTCTGTAGTCCCCCCCATTTCCAACCCATCTCCCAGTCCCGCACATTCAGCACTTACCTGTGGGCTTTGCTCACCTGTCCCTGTCGAACCTAGTTTAAAGCCCTCCTCACAAGGTTAGCCAGTCTGTGTCCAAACAAGGCCTTCCCGCTCCTGGAAAGGTGAACTCCATCTCTGCCAAGCAGTCCTTCTTGGAAGAGCACCCCGTGGTCAAGGAAGCTGAAGCCCTCCTGGCAACACCATCCTCGCAGCCTCCATTTATAGGACATGTGAAGACCTGAACTGATTAGAACTAAGACATAGGAACTAAGAGTTGTCTTCACAACTCAAACTGATTTTTAAATAAGGATCTTGAGCTTTTCTTACCAATCTAAGAATTCTGTTTTTTTTTTCTGTTTAGGATCTGATGAAGAATCTGAAGAAAAACAAGATAGTGAAAAACCAATTGTATAGCAAATATGAGCGATAACAGGCAAGTCATCCTTTAGGGAAAATATCTCTTGCTAAAAGAGTTAATTTTTCTTTCTAATTTCCTTCCATTTAAACACCTAAGAATTAGGCCAGATGGTTACCACTGTTGGAATCCGCCTGTTCCTAATGTCTGAGTTGGTTGCTAGAGAGCAAAGTCAGGTACAGTCATGCTGAAATATCTGACTACTTGAAAGAGTGGATTAGGAACCACCTCCAATGAATTCTGATTGTCCCAATTTCTCTTCTGGAGCCAGCAACAATTGAGGTCAGTTATACTGGACACTCTAGTGGAGGGATCTGGGTACAGTAGAATCTGGATTATCCGACCTTCGGTAATCTGACATTCCACTTTATCCGACATAGCAGCAGACCATTGTCAGCCGAGCGCAGCGCGAGTATGCGGCCCCCAAGGCCAGCCGCCCTGTGCTGCTATGCTGCATGCAGCCTCCCCGGCTGAAGAGGCTCCAGCAGTTTCCCGCAGGTCGGAGCCTCCTGTCAGTGCCCTTTGTCCCCATCCCTGCCTCGCCCCTTCCCTCCCTGCAGCTCCCGGGTACGGGAGCTGCAGGGAGGGAAGGGGCTGGGGCCAGGGCCAGGCAGGGATGCGGACCAACCGGCGCCGGCAGCTATCCATCCCTTCCTGTACTCCCTATTAGCCGACATTTTTAGTAATCCGACCACCTGTCGGTCCCGTTTAGGTCAGATAATCGGGACTCTACTGTTTAAACTGTCAAAGCATATGAATGGACATGGGCTAGCAGTGTTCATGCATGTATTGCCCCCTTTAACATTGCTCTGGTTTCTCACTTTAGAGAGTAGAGGACAAGAAGTTACAGAATCTTTTTGTGGAAGAGAAGTGAGCATGGGGATCAGATTAGGGTGAGGAGAGGCCACCATGGTCAGCAACAGCACATTAGCCTTACATGTGGATGACATGTTCAGAGCCCTTCCCCCAGCTGGCCACGTTTACTGGTATGACTGTACCCTTGTGGACACACTGTCTCTCTAGCAGCCCCCTCGCTTTCCCGGTCATGGATAACAATCCCATTCCAGGCACATCCAAACCCTGACCTTGATTTACGTTAGGATAAGGGGAAGCTGCATACCACATTTGGTGGACCTAGCTCTTACTGTTTAGGAGGAGTCCTTATACTGGCTCACAGACGCACAGTTTCTACAATATATAGTAGATATCCATGCTGTGGTGTAGGTATGACTTGAGTGTAGAACATTGGGAAATTCTGCATGTTGAAGTGCTTTAAGCAACAGAAAGAATAGGGATAGGAGAACATATTAGGATTAGGAAAGGGATTGGCTATTAGGGATGTTAGGTATTGGTTACTTTAGTAATCATGTAGCAGCAACAAGTTTTAGCAGTTACAGGGTTACTACAATGCTCCCCCATGGGGGTGGCAGCCAGTGCATTCCTGGCCCCACTCCTGGGGAGCCCCTGCCATCCCACGCTGCTGCCTCTGTATCCGTGTGGGAGCTAATTTTTAAATTGATTCAGAGGCAGCAGTGTGAGGTGGCGACAGTCCCTGTCCACGAGGGACCCCAATATCCCTGTGGACGGAGACTGCTCTGATATCCCACGAAACAGCCCCTGTCCATGGAGGGCTGAGCTTTCCGTGGACAGAAACTGCTTCGCATCCCACCCTGCCAAGTTCTCCCCCTGAACACCAGCTGCCACCTGTTCCCTCCCCCCCCCATGCTGCTGCCTCTCTGAGAGGCACCAGGGGAGGGGCAGGTGGCTCTCAGGGAACCGGCATGCACCGCCTCCTCCCCCCTCAGCCCCTGATGCCTCTGATATAGAGGCAGCTAGTGTGTGTGTGTGTGTGTAATCATTTGGATTAATTGATAAACCCAGGCTTATCTGTTAATCATTTAAACAACTATACACTAAATCCCTGTTGGCTACCTAGTGTATTCATTTTGTTTTGTTACCTTTCACTACTTAATGCAAATTATTTTCTTTCATATCAATTTTATTAACTAATGAAGAAGATTTATTTCTATATTATTTCATAATACAAGTTGGACCTTCCTCGTCCAGCACCCTGGGGACCTGAGCAATCCTGAAGAAGGGAATTTGCTGGATCTGGAGAGGTTAGGCATCCGGGGCTCCCCTCCCGGCTACAGCTCTGGGAGAACCCAGAGACCTAGCCTTCTCTGGCCCACCTACCTGGTTCTGCTGCTCCCAGCCTGCTCATGGGGCTCCGCTGCTGGGGTTCCCCGGCCCAACACAGGATGGCAGCTGCGGCCAGGGCTCCCTGCCCCCAGGTCAAAGATTGCCACTGACCAGACCAGCTCCACACCCTGCTGCTCTCAACCTCTGTGGCCAGGGCTCTCTGGTCTATCAATATCTCTAGTCCTGCCAGACCACAGATGTTGCTGGACCTCAGAGTCTCAGATGAGAAGGGTTCTACCTTTATTCTTTCCTTCGGATCTGCTCATGCTACTAAAACTGGTATTTCTAATTGATGGGGAATTAATCTTAGGAGGCATAAGTTCATGCTGTCGTCTTTTCATAGCTCATTTCTGACTTTTACATGACTAGTAATGGATATTTGTAGGGAATAATTCTGGACAGCTGGATGTGGTGAAAACAAGTCAGAGGATTTATTACACACAGCGCTGGTGGAGTCCCAACCAGGGGTTAAGCTGGTGAACACTGGTAAAACAAAACATTACAATAGTTTATATAGGCAGCAGATGGACAGAGGAGAAGTGATTCAATAGGTTCTATCAGCAAGACAAAATGAGCACGTAAGCCAGTAACCTACGGGAGATTACATAGCATCTCTTCCCATCACCAATTAAACACCTTATCTCTAATACAGTAATTTCCTTAACAAGCTAAATAAGCCAACATCAACATAACAGACAATTTAATGGCAAGTTTGTCTATTGGAATTATGATGCGTCTATAGCAGAATGGTATCGTCTTGTGTTGGCATGGTCCTTGGGTCCCAGGCCCATTATGTAGGATTAAAGGAAGACAGTGAGAACAACATTAACAAAGTTTGTTTTGGTACCAGCCAGTGTCTTATCTAGATGAGGCCCCTTGGAATGTGATTGCCAGGTGACCAGCGTCATGTTAACTGCCTGTGCTGTGTGTTCCCAGGCCTGTCTCAAATTTTAGGATTGAATAGGGGTTCTCAGTGAAATACAATGGTCTGCCTCAGTTTACCCTACAATATGGCTCAAAACAAGTGAGCATCTCTATATTAATATCCATTGTATTGGGTCAAAACACTGTTGGTTCGTTCATCTTCACTTTTTTTATCTCTTACAGAATGAAAATCTGAATCAAAAGTCTCTAGGGAAATGCTTATATTGAAAATGTAATGACAGTGTCTGCAGTTGACTTACTGGCGGAACTGCTAACAAAAGAATTTATTTATTAGCAAAGGGAAATGATTCCCCTGTACTGTAATACCTCACAAACTTGTTCACATATATATATTAGACTGCCTTATGGCAGTTATGAAAAATTAGTCATCCTTGTTGTATTCAATGATTCTTGAAATTGATTTAACAACTAGTTAGCTACTGGAAAGTGTTGTGCTTGTGTAACTAATCAGTAGACCCAATAATATATTGAAGTAACACTGTATGATGGAAATATATTTAATGATTGTTTGAATTCACTAGATAAAATTATTTTACTTTGTTAATATTTGTCCTGTTCATTTTTACATTTTCTTTTTTAAACTCCATGCATTTTTAATGTACTTATGCACTGTTTGTAAAATAAAGAAAAACGTTAATAAAAACAATGTGCCACATTGTGACATATTTGTCCCTTCTCCTGGTAGTAGGAAGACCTGCTTTTCCAAATTCCTTGTCTCTCACTGGGGAAACAAATTATCTTATTGACTTTATTGTATAGATTTTATGGAACAGACATATAAAGTTAATTTATTCCTGCCTGTTCTGATAGACTAGAGTGGTGAACTGTAATTTAATTTATAATGTGAATCCTGTTTATTCAGTTGGGAGATGAATACAGAATTTATTCTAATAAATATTTTGGACCAAGTTTTCAGTGCAAATGATAAACTGTTTTTGTGAAGAGTTTCAGGAAATGAGCTGCCACAATAATGTGGTTTGTGGGAGGGTGCAAACTAATCTACTTTAAAATCAGGTTTAGCAAATGAAAACTATTCACACTCCTTAAGCATCCTTCATGATGGTCAGATTACAAGCCAGTCATTAAATACTAACAACAGTCTGCTTCATAAATTATATTTTCAATATAGTATAAAGAACAGAGACTATTAGGAGAATTTATTATCTTTCAAATTTGAAGTCCCTGTTGCCCGAAACTGGCTGGCTCTACTGCCACTTATCTCGGCTGGGCTCTGCTGCTGGCTGCCAGTTCCCTGCTACTGGCCCCAGACAAGCTCTGCTTCCCTCAGCCGGGCTCTGCTGGCCTCAGCAAGGCTCCATTGCTAGCTGCCAGCTCTCTGCCCCAGCCACCGGCTGCTGATCTCCGGCACCTGGCTCTTGAACTCCAGTCCCATCCCTGCCTGGCTTTATAGTCCAACCACATCTGTGATCCTGCTGCATCAGTTTTTCCTATGAGTGTTCCAACCCTGGAGCTCCCATGGGACCCTGACGATGCAGGACTGCAGATGTTGCTGGACCTCTTAGTCTGAAACTCTGGTCCAACCTATAATAGTTTCCAAACCTAGCCACATGTTACCAAGCAAAAAACCAAAGTGAAACAGTAACTTTTTTCACAGCTCTGTAACAGCCATTAGCAAATTATATTTTCTCCAGAGTTGCATGAGGCATGTGAGGGTGCAAAACAGTCCATGGATAGTTGTCCTAACATGTCTCAGGGTGCTTTGATAGTGAACATTGCATTAGTCAGGCTCTCTGGTCAAGAATCTTAATTGTGCTTGAATGGCAGAAGTTCCACATGTTTCCTTCAGATTGTGATTGCCGTGTCATTTTTCTAGCATTTTTAGCAACGGTTTTGCTGTTCTATAATCAATGTGTGGTGGCTAGAATCTGTAAATTCACATTTCTTTGTAACTTTTGACCTACTTGAATGTGGATTATTATTCTGGCACTGTACCGTGTGTATGGTTACAGTACGATAGGACACTTGCCTTCACAACTGAGGAGATGGGTAACTCCTGAATGGTATTCACCTCACTAGACAAAATCTAACTTTGTGTAATACCTACATCGTAGTAAGCAAGAACATCAGTGCATGTAGCTTTCCTAAATCCTCCAAATCTTGCAATAGTAACCTGTGTATATTAATGTACTTCCAACAGACTGTAGATTAAACTGCACTATTTCTACAAATGCTGTGGTAGTAAGCTGAAGTTTTACTGTACTCTGTACATGTAACTCAGGCAGATCTTTGTATTTCCATTAGCTTGCTGTGGCTTGTAAGTACCTATTTGGTGAGGTGCAGGACTGATTGTGGTTAAACTGTCCTTGTTATCATATGCACCATCACAGCCTAACTTTTCCGAAACAGCAGTGACTGGCTTAGTTTACAAAATTTTCCACTAAATAACCACATAGCAAACAAAATAACTCAAGCCTCAAAACTAATACTTAAACCAACCCCTGGTTCCCATGTTCAGCATGTAAAAGTGCAGCAGCAGGTCACCTTACATGCTAATGAGCCAGTGCAGCTGTTAAATTTGCTACCACAGACTGATAAACCTCAGTGGTTGGCTATACTAAGGGCTGTGGGTAAGCAAAGGACTTTGCAAAAGAAGCTTAAAAACATAAAAGCTGTAGCTGCTTGTGCAAAGCTCCAAGAAAAACAAATGGTGGGGGCAAAATTAGCCCTACAAATCTAATTATTTCAATCTAATTCATTTTTAGAAGTAGCCCCTCTTCTTGCTATGATGTTCAGAGTGTTGTGCAAAATAAAATCATAGTACAAAATAAGTCTCAATAGTAAGTAGTCAAGCATGAAACACATATTTTTCTTCAATCTCAGGCCTGATTCTCAGCTGCAAATTTATGATAATTTATATCAGCTGTGGATCTGGGATGATCAGAGCAAAGTTCATATATTAACCTTTTAGGATTGTATGGTGTCTTGTGCTCAGGACTGCCAACAGCAGCAATAGAGGTGTGTTTCATTTTGTTTTTCTCCAAAATATATGTACTTGAATCTTTTGTAATAGTTTTGTAGGTATTCATTTTCTCTTAAGCAGAGCAAGCTAGCCACTTTAAATGCCAATATGTTTGAAGATTTTCTAAGCTAAGATGTTGTCTGCTGAATAAGGGCCAGTTTCCCAACTTCAGATTGAATAGTATGTAGAATCCTAATCTTGTTGATTTTTATTGACTAAATTACTCTAAAAGGAGTGGGAATAGCAGCATTTGGTGCAAAGTACTTAGTTTTCCTATATATGTGTAATCCTTTGAACACAGAATTTATTTTAGTTACTGTATTTTTTCCACTTCCCTGTTTGGTAGAAAACTTTATTTTTAAGGAGGAACCTCCTATGTATGACTTTGCAAATAACACAACTGTTTGCTTTAAAGAATTTTAACCTCTTAAAAAGTAAACAAGTATGCAGAACATGCCTAATTTATAAGTTGAATGTTTTTACAGGATGTGGAATACTAAGAAAATAGCTGCACAAGTTATTAAAGTAAAATTTACTGCTAATTGTGCATTTGTGTAAAATACTGCTAATATGAGTGGATCTGTCCTATGTGGATCCTGCAAGCATTCAGGGCCCAATATGCTTGTACTTGTGCTAATAATTTACCCATCTTTGGACAATTTTAAAAACTGATAAATATTCATGATTTGTGGACTAAGAAGCATCAAAATTGCAGACTTTGGAGATGTGGAAGAGTTTAGAGTGGTATCGGAGAACTTTCCTTTATTGGTTAAGAATGATCAGTTTGAACTTACAGTATGATTTTGAAGAGAGTATTTCATTTTTTAAAATATTTCAGGCATATACTGAAGAGGGCATATCCAGTTAAGTTTGTATTTCATTCATTGTAACTTTTATGTTTTTAAAAGATAAAATGGAAGTATGCCATATATGAGGCAAGACTAAGTATTCACCTTTTACCATTCTCTTCCAGGATTGTATACATCTTCCTTGAAAAACTTGTTTTTAAATTGTTAGATTTCCCTTAAATAAATACATTGGACAGAATATTTTGTAATGCTGAATTTTATTTAAAATATATCTAATCTTTCAATTTAAAAAAAATCAAAAACAGGCTTTGAAATAGTAATGAAAGAAATAAATGAATTGAAATTAAATGAAAGTATTAATTACAGATTAAGAGATTCCAACCCAAGTAATTACAGCAGTGAGGTTTTTCCAATTACTTAACTTACTGCACTGGGCCTATCTATATCCAAAAAATTGTGCACAAGTGTTTTGCAGGTTAAGAGCCTAGGGGTATGTCTACACTACAGCATTATTTTGGAATGTCTTATTTCAAAATAGTTAATTCGAAATAGCTTATTTCGAAATAACGCGTCTACACACAAAATGCATTTCGAAATAGCTTTTTGCTATTTCGAAATAGCTCATCCACACTGAGTGGATGCTGAATCGCATTTAAGGCCATCCGGAACCAGGTCCGGTAGGGCATCCGGTCAGGAGTTAGCTTGTGTGGCTGCTGCCTGTGGCTATCTGAGGCCTGTGCTTAAAGGGACCTCCCCCGCCCCCGGACAGCCAGTTCTCAGGTTTCCCTGCTTGCTTGCCTACCTCGATGAGGGACAGCAAAGCATTGTCTCTGCGTGGTCTGGTTGCCCTTACTCAGGACACCACAGCACTCTGCAGCATGGAGCCAGAGTTGCCCCTGGGCACTCTGATGCTTCTTGTGGATGTGTTGCTGTGAGTCTGGCTGCACTTTCTGCAGGCTGCCATCTGGGAGGTCCATCTGGGGGCTGTCAGTATCCAGGAGGCCCTGCGGGAGAGCTTCTACCCTGAGAAGCACTAAGAGCCTCCCTGGTCTGCTCCACTGGGGGCTTGTGCCTCATTCCTCCCTCATGTCCTGCCACTTACCCTCCCTAACCCCCCTTCCTGATGTCAAATAAAATACACATATTTTCATGAACACAAACTCTCTTTATTTAACAAAACTGGGGGAGGGGGGGAATGACACTCTGGTGAGACTGGGGAAAGGAGGCGGGAGAGGGGAAGAGGTGAGGGGGAAACCTGGGGGGAGGGAACTTGAAGGGGGAAGCCAGGGAAAGAAGGGGAAGGGGAAGCTCAGGGTTGGGGGTCTTGCCAGACCACCTTGATTGTCATGCAAACCTCCTCCTGGGTTCGCATGTGGCCTTTGGTGTCCAGGCTGGCAGCTATCCTGCCATAGATGGCCACATTCCTCCGTCTATTGCGGAGATCGTGGGCATTGGGG